AATTGCGATTTTTTTGACAGATATTGCGATTGCGATTTGATTTGCGATTTTAAATGTGCAAAGTCAAGCTTCAGCTCAATATTGCCAATAATGTGCAGCACAGTATGGGTATCATTTCCCTGCTGAAAAAAAACCACAATAGAAACCATCACAGAAATTCTTATAGTTTCCATTAAACCATTACACAATTCCTTTTTGTTTTGGGCATTATTCCAATAGGAATTATTGTTGTTCTATTGGTTGCCATCTGCCAGATTACATCCCACCAATAGAATCCATCAAATAGACACCATTATAGTTCACATTAAAACCAATACAATTCCCATTATAACCCTGAAATCCATACCATTTTTTTATGTTTTGAGAGGGGTTCTATTTATTTATTTTTTTCAGCAGGTAAGATTATAATGGTATAACTACTTTTACAGAATTAACTTAATTTCACAGAAAATGTTTATTTTTTATAAATAAAGAACTGTATTTCTTAAGTCAATTATTAAAGTATTACATAGGCTGATTTATTCATTTGAAGTATTATTAGTATTAGTAATATTTGGGATTTTAAGAGCAAGTGGAAAATGTGCTGAATGTTTCAAATTTATCCAAGTGAAATTAGCAAAGCAGTTAGACTGAATTTACATTCGTTTTAAACATGGAGCTAGGCGCGTTTGTAAGATAATTTGTAAGATTTGTTCTCGTACTAACAAAAACATCTAAGAATGTATCTTTTATTCTCCAGTACTGAAAACAGAACAAATACGGGAGCTTTTGATATGCGCTGTGACGCAGCTCTTGGAAATTACCTTTTTTGTTCGTTGTCTGTTATTTCGAAGCTTAAGTTGCATACGTTTTTCTTTAGTTTTAATTTGCCTAACTATCGATCTGACCCAGTAGACGCCATAATCCCACTCTGTCTCTCTCCCGCTTTGTTTTTTTTTTAATGGTGGGTGTTTACACAGTTGGCTAGAGCAGTGCTGATTGGGGAGAATGGAGGTGCGCTCACTCTATTGGTTAGTAAGACTGCAACTCAAGGCTGGCAGTCATGCATATGCTCTGGAGTAATATCGCGTCCATATTGCAGGCTTTGCGATTATGAAATCGCAATGTCTCAAGGACATTGAGGCGCCCCCCCAATTTAATGGCAGGGGAAACACTGATAAAGTACTATATAAATAAACTGGTCAAACCGCGTTATTGCAGGCTCTTACATTAGGTCATATGAGATCAAACGACTACTCGACAACAAACATATTTGTTGACCATTTTTTTGTCTACGTTGTCAACGATGTCTACTTATCATTTCAGCCCTACCCACCACCCTTCTTCTCCCATCTTCCATCAGGCAGGGAAGAAAATCACGATGAAAAACCTTCAATAATCCCAGTATTAGACAGGAGGACCCATCCGTCCTCAGCTCAAGAATGACTCTATTAATAGCTTGTTGCTTCGGAGGGCTGACTGCAACGGAACATGCGCGTTGCTGGTGTTAAGTGAGCCAGAATCCAGAGGTGACCACTTCCTGAATCTCAGAGAAAAAATCAGATGTTTCAACTGCACACATATGGCCTGAATAATGCCACTGTGAGAGAGAGAATTTAGCTTAAACTGTGCAAACAATATGTGCTGATGCAGATGGGTCTGTGTGTACTGATACAGGTGTTTGTGCAGCGTGAACAAAAGTACAATATGTAACCAGCTAAACGAATCGGAATTTATACATACAACCCTGTGGCCACAGACACTAAACCACAGACATACATCTTCATAACAGTGTGCAGCCTGCAACACACACACACACACACACACACAATACAGCAGAAAGCAGTTTGTAGATGACAGGTGATGTAATAGGATTTTGTCCAAGGAGAGAGGGAGCTAAACGTCTCGCTGAAACTGGCAGCACTAGAGGAAAGACAAAGATAGAGCAAGGGGGGGGGCATTTTTCCCCCCCCCCCCCCCAGCCGCACCACGGGGCCTTTTCTTTCTGAAAAGGCCTGGGGGGAAAAACCCTTACACACACACACACACACACACAATACAGCAGAAAGCAGTTTGTAGACGACAGGTGATGTAATAGGATTTTGTCCAAGGAGAGAGGGAGCTAAACGTCTCGCTGAAACTGGCAGCACTAGAGGAAAGACAAAGATAGAGCAGGGGGGGGGGCATCTTTCCCCCCCCCCCTCCCAGACGTACCAGTGAGTCTATTCTATCTGAAAAGCTCTGGAGAGAAAGACTGTTACTGTATATAGACAGAGGTTTATAAACAGGGCAGCTACTGGAGTGCATTCAAAGATGTTTTGAAGGTCACGGGTCGACCCCGATGTTTGATCTAAGGTTAGACTCTTTTGATTGGCCGCACAAGTGTTCACAAGCTCACAGACACAAACACTTGTAAACTAACAGGTCACATTCGCAGGACAAGCTATTTTTATGAAATGGACGTTCTGTGCTGAAGAGAGGAGCCAAGACCTAATTACCCACGAGTATGTGTTAGATTCAGGCTCAAAATACTTATAGAATACATGTTTCTATTTTCTACATTGTGTTCCTGTTATACATTTTTTTCTGGTATTTCCTATTCATTGTTTGTTTCATGTTTATATTCTTTATTTTCATTCCTATGTCCTTTCTATTCCCTTGTTAATTTTATTCTATATATGGACAGCCATAAAAATGTTGCGCTGCATATGGTTGTGCATGTTACAAATAAACTTTAATACAAAATTTGAAAATACTGAAAACAATAGCTATGTTTCCATCCAAAGATTCGAATTAAACTTATGTGTAAAACTGGATTTTGAATAAAGCACAGTTTCCATCATATAGTCATATAGCCTAGTCGATATAGTCATAGTCACATGACTTTTTTGATGCGCATGGAGGAATTTATTTGGTAAATGTGTTTCCATCATAGTTTGTGCATTTTTTCTTATCGGATAAAAAGTGTATCCTACTCAAATGTGAGCACAAGTTTTTTATGCATATTTTTTTAGAATTTATCTGCATCTTGGCGTTTCCATCCAGCGTTTTTTTATGCGCTATTCCAAAATACACATAAAAATAGGTGGATGGAAACATAGCTAATTACACACATATGGAAAAGTCCAGGACTGGGTCTGTTTATTTTAAAAGCAGTGACTGTTTTCCGTTTACTGTCAAAGCAATAGCGTGCAATCGGACGTTTAGTCTGGAACGAGGGGCCTGACCTTGGTGGATGCACCTACATGCGGTTCTTCCTGCATGCTTTTACCTTCTTACTCGACACTTTAAACGAGACCTCTCTCCTCCATTAGAATTCACTTTAAAATAACCGTGTACAGTATAAGTGCTAGAATTGTGAATTGAGTTTAAAACGTAAAGCAAGCTGAACTGTAACTAGATCAGGTGTCAAACTGCAGTGTGTTTAATATACAGCGAGTTTACGTTATAAAACACCAATAAAATATATCTTCTGACTGAAAGGCAACCAAGAAATCATTATTTAAATATCAACACCTCCGAATCACCAATCATGGACACTTTATTCTCAATAAATTCGAGCCGAATCTCCTGCCTGAAAGAGCAAAAGACTGTGACTGAAGAGAACGCTAGCATTTCCCTGCTCAATTATTCTTCCTTTCCCTGCATGTTTAGAACATTAGGGTGGAAATGTCTGTGTGTGTGTGTGTGTGTGTGTGTGTGTTGTGAAACAGTGACTCATGCTAACCACCAGGGGGAAGAATAATGAGGCGAGACGTGCAGGGAGCACAGTGAGAAAGAAACAGATTTGAGGGGGTCAGCTGGGAATTCTTTGTACACTGGTGTGTGTGCGCGCATGTGTCCTCCTACTTGCATTTGCTCCAACACACAAACAGTCACTCTATATTTACCATGGCATGACAGAGATGTGGTGTTCATTCTATACCGGTCAGCCATGTTTTCCAGTAGCTGTTCCTGCTATTCTGAGACAGACAGTCATATGAACACACTCAAACATCTATATACATTAAAGAGACAATTTGCCCTCAGCTTTGCAATCAGAGGAATAAACTACATTTTGACAGCATATTAAAATAGAATAACTAACTATAATAATGTTTCACAATTTTTCTGTTTTACCCTATTTTTGATAAAACTGTCTTGGTGAGAGTAAAACACCAAAACATTAAGTCCTCCCCCCCACCCTCAAATTTGCATCATTCCTAACAATACTCCCTTATCCATAGTAAAATTAACTTAATGTACAGCTTTCTCAGGTCACACAAAGGTGAATATTTTTCTCAAGTAAAGCAGTAATCATTACAGGAAGTGCTTAAAGTAAAGGCCAATTTAAAAAAAGAAACATTCTGCAAAAAAATAAAGATAAGCAGAGCAGCAGCCTCCATCATAATTAACTGTGCTGCAAACTGAGAGAAACCTGGGGTTATATGTGTGCGTGCGTGGTGGTCCGCTGGGACAGATGGGGTGGCCTTTATCAGGGCCGTCAGAGGAAAAACGCATTTCATGCTCTGCTGACCCCCTTTTTCTCTCTCTTCCTCTCTCCCTTGTCCACCTAGCAGAAGAATTAGGCAGCAAAATTTCTCCCTGTGTGACATGGGCCACCAGTGTGTGTGTTCTGTCTGCGAATATGAGAGAAATGTCAAACATGATCATCTAAACGTCAAGCTACATCATGTGTTCGCTGGTGGAAATGGTTCTCTTTAACGCAGAACACACTCCAAAAAGATCCCACTCTACTACTAGAACATGGCCTGTGGCATTCCGGCACCATTCCTAGTTCCCTGCAGGGGACTGATAAAAACTACTACTGCTGAACTAGCTTATGACAGAGAGTCCTCATTTACTCCCAAACGACATGTTTCCCCCCACTAGAGAACCAGGAGTAAACCTTCTCACCTCTAGATTTCATTAGACACTATAACTGTCAGTCATCTGTCACTACAGTAGCAGTCAATCACTGTGCTTGAGTCTAGCAGCAGCACAATACAGAAACATGTTCAAAGTGCTTGTGTGAGACTTACATCTGGATACTCTTTGACTGGTACGAAGAGTTTCTCCTGTAGATGTACGATGGGTCCCAATGGCTCTGGTAACTCCAGGGGGTGTTTGTCCACCAGACCGTTCACTGTGTCGTTATACATGTCCTTCCTCACTCTGGTTATCTCTGCAGGTAGACAAAAAAAAAAAAAGACAAACAGATCAGAAACGGCGAGAAAAAAAAAACAGACAAAAAGGCATGAAATGCAACATTCCTTTCATTCACATAAGATGCCACATTCCAGTGCATTTCTCCCTAAATTAAGTTGCCAAATATCATGAGATATTATATATTTCATGATATTTGTTTTGTATTTTTATATATTTCCAAGTTTCACAGTAACAGGAACTCTCATGCACACACTGAGATCTTTTAAACAGACTCTTTCATAGCTGGCAGCTCCAGATGAGGTTAAACTGCTGCTGCCAAAACATGATTAAGTTTAGGATGTCCATTCCTGACACACACACACACACACACACACACACACACACACACACACATTCCCTCCCTCACACAAAGTGGCTGTGCTTTAAAACCTAGTGAGCTAAATGAGCTGATAGTTAGGGTTTGAAACAACCAGATGGCGCAGCAAACACACACCTGTTGTGGAATATAGGAGTGCATTAGACAAAAAGTCCTATCTACATTAAGAGTAATTACTTGGGACACACTGATCTGATACCTGGAAAAGTGACGGAACGTTGGTGGCGTTTTGAAATGGAATGAGCACCAGGCATGCAAATCCAATAGTAGGTTTAGTCATGGTTGTCCAAAACCGTGCAATGAATCGTGCATTATGTTTCAAATGTTCTGGAGTTACACGACAGCCTCAACTGACAAACGAGCTGGAATTCAAGTCTGCTGCTCTCAAAATCATTCTCCACTATGCAAACGCTACTGTTAAATAGTTTTGAGGTCAGTAAGATTTTTTTCATGTTTTTAAAAGAAGCCTCACTAAGAATACATTTATTTGATCTAAAATACAGCAACACTAAATTATATAATCTATTTGGTTATATTTTAAAATGTAATTTATTAATGAAAACTCCAAAACTGTGAACAGAAACTTCAAAAGTAAAACTTTTAAAAACAGAATTTCTTGAATTTTTGTAACAATTTACACAAGAAATCACATTCAAATTGAAATGATTGAAAACAAAGAAACAGTGTGTATGCGTCGCACTCTGTACTAGACATAATTCAGCACTGACATGTTGTCAGCTGTCTCAGCAGTATCAAGAAAAAAGTGGGATCACAGCATTACTAGTGCTTACACACTAGAAAAAAAACTCTTGGCAGAGCGTTTGACGACTAGGAAAGTGTAAGATCCAGGTCAGTCTGAAATCAAGTGGGAATAGAGCAAATTGGATTTCCTAAAAGACAACTGGACAAATCCCACTGAAATTCTCATTGGCTGCTGGATGCATATTTAAGAGTAATTTTTGGTTACATAGAATGTCACTTTTACAAACCCTTGGATTTTCCCTACACACCAGTCCATATAGAAGTCAATGGATTTGGAGCATTCTCTGATGAAGTGCAACTAATGTCCTACAACACTGATACAGAGTGTGTGTGTGTGTGTGTGTGTGTGTGCGCGCGCATGCATTTCATGGGGCCCCAGAATACTGGGAGGGGTTGAAAAGTGACGCAACACCCAGATCAAAACATGAACCATGTAAGGATGAAACTTTTAACACAACGTATTTTCTCTCACACATGCAATGAGTCCCAGAAGAGGTGACACAACTGCTGCAAGTATATTAGCCACATTTAACTCAATCTATCTTCTCTCTTGACCCAAGCACAACCATAAATTCCTCCACCCTTCTCTTTTTCATCCCTCGCTTTCACCCAGTGTCTCTCCTTCCACCTTTCAACACACTACAGCAGGAAGGATTTCTCTCTGACTCTCTGGAGTAAAAGTGCTGCGTGTCTGCATGTTTAATATTCTTGGACTGCAAGAGAGTAGTTTAAAGTAAAAGCAGGAATTAAAAAATTTAAATATCCTCGACTCAACCAGAAATGGGTCATGAACAAGAACGCCGTTCATTTAAATCTTCTCCGAGGCTCACACTGTATACATCCCTCACCATGTGACCTTTAAATATAAATCAGAAATAAACTTAATTGTAAATGATAATCTGCGTTATACATGATTTTTTTATTTTTGCCCGTCTTTGTCACACACATACACACACTTAACCCTCGCACCTAAAAGCACTCTTTTAGTGTGCACTTAAAAAAAGAGCCAATGAAAAATAGAAAATAAAGTGTTTCGGTCCTTTGGCTGAACGAGAGAGCCACAGTGAAATGCCACATTACCATAAAGTAGCAGCGAGAGAGAGAGTGAGCGAGCAATATCGAGCACATGCCATTAGCAGGCACAAACTCCGAGGTGAGTCCTAATTTCAATGCTCAGGCCGCTGGTAGCCTAATGGTTAAGTACCTTGTTTGCCAGCACAAAGGTCGCAGTTTAAACTCTACTAAGGGGTGAGGCAGGAATGTTGAGAAGAAGTGACAACAAATCCTGGTACATTAAGACAGACACTGAGCCCCACAATCGCTCAGGGGTCAGGCTGCTGGTCTGGGGTCGGTTTTCGTGACAGAGGGGGGTAAAAATGGTTGTGCAAGTTGTGAACGCTCTGGGTTCAGTTTGATAGGTATGCTGATGATGTGCTGCCTGTTCCACTAACCATAAATAAACTACATGTCACTGTGTAGTTATGAAAACACAACATGTGGGCTACCCTACACATCAGGGGTGGGGAAAAAGATTTACAGACACATCAATTAGAAGAAAAAAACTCCCCTCCAAAGTAACTCGGAACTTTTGAATGGTAGTATATAGAGGGAAACACAGGGTGATAGTCATAAAAATGCAAAGGAGGAGAAACTGTATGTGTTAAGAACAAAAGAGAACTTTTGCTGATCTAATATTGCACCATATTAGAAAGCAAGACGGACAGTGCACACTTTAAAACCAAACCAATCCTCCACAAAAGCGGTGAGCAGGTAAACAAGGTTAAACATCCCGAGACCCTGAATCAGAGGCTGTCTGAACAGACTATTCTCTTTCTCTCTCCAGTCCTTTCACTGCCAACCCATCCATCAAAAGGACCATCCTGTCCTTATGGTTGCTAATATAAGCAACATTACTAACTCAGTAAAGATGAGCTTATAAGTAGGGTTGCAAAGGGGTGGAAAATTTCCGGAAACTTCGGAAAGTTCCATTGGAACTTCGTCTGTGGAATTTTGGAAATATTCCAAGTTTGAAACTTATCAGGAATTTATGGGAATTTACAGGAATTAATTGAAAATTTGGGGAAATTTTTAAAACTATCATATACAAACATAAATATAAACATTTTGTTTGATCATAGGCTCACATGCATGCAAGCTAATACACATTTTAAAATTTTAATTTTTGGATTTTGGGGGGGGGGGGGTCTGTGCTGCTTTTTTCAGGATTCATTGATGAATGCAAACTTGTGAACAGTGGTTATTCAAAATAGAAATCTTTTCTAACAATATAAGTCTTTACTATTACTTTTTATTAATTGAACATCCTTGCTGAATAAAAGTGTGTATTGTTAAAAAAGGATTTATATTTAAAATAAATGCTGTTCCTTTTTTTAACTCTTTATTCATCAAAGAATCCTGAAAAAAATCACAGGTAATAAAAAAAAAAATTTAAACGGCTGTTTCCAAAACTGACTATAAATAAGCATTTTAGAATTATTTTTGAAGAATCATGTGACACTGAAGACTGGAGAAATGATGTTCAAAATTCAGCTTTGAATCACAGAAAAACAT